AAACGTGGGGTTGCAGGTGGTGTCTGAATTCGAAGGTGTGGTCAACATCCTGGAGAGTCTACCGGCGAACTCCACGCTTGTTATCCAAGTCTACCTAGGTGAACCATCACAGCGCTAAGTCGAAGTCGTGAAGGGGGTCAAACTCCGTTGGGTGAAACAACACCAGTATCACATTTGCACTGTTTACGTGCGGGTGGGGGCCGACTCCCACACCAGTCTGCAGGGGGTCACCATGACCGTGGAAGACACGATATCACTCACCAAGATCTTCCTACCCGGCAACATACACCTCATGGGGATGAGGTGCACCCCTGAACTACTATCAGAAAGACAGTTGGAAACTATCTTGTAATAATAATAAATGCAATGACCAGTCATCGTCCCAACGTCACGCTTAGCGACCTAGGAGACAAGGAGGGGTTCGATCTGCCTGACAGGGACGGCGCCTTGTACGCCCTGTCCTTTTACAACATACATATGTACATACGGGTGCCTCTGTCAGACGACTTTAAAGAGCCCAAATGGTTGATCAACATGACCCTCACCACACCTTATATCTCGTTCAACAAAGATGGGTATATCTCCGAAATTAGGAACAACAGTATCTTGCTCGGGGCTTTCATTCCGGATCCTGGCCTAAGTACTCGGCTAATACTAGATCACACGGGTAACATGTTAGCCCCATACCATTCAGAGTTAAGGTTTGACGTACACGATTCCCAATTGGATCTTATGACTATGAAACCAGGCTCCACACTCGCCATAGAAGTCTATCTCGGGGCACTTTTTGATGATACAGGACTACAACTTTTACCCGGGGTGACAATACACTGGTACCCCATACTCAGGCACCAACGTTGCCATATCGTCATACAACCGGACCCCTTAATGGGTTCTATAGTCCCCTCGGTAAGCCTCTATAGGGTTCGTGTGGTCGCAGAGTTACCTATTAGCCTCTCACCTATTTCCCTGTACGATGATCTAAGCCTTATAAGCCTCAATTACACTGTGCAAGGATTAAATGGCAAACAATTAAAAGATATCTCATTAGATATATAATATGCACAGGATGGGCCTGTACCCAGTTGTAGAGGAAGTAGGGAAGACACTGGAAACCATAGACGGGTTCCGCTTGAGGCAGTTATGCGACATAGAACGCCAACTGGAACAAGACAGCGACAGACGGGCAGCGTTATGCAAGAAGTACCATAGGGGTGGTAGGTGTCGGGTTGTTGACCACCATCGTGGCCGCGTCCATAATGCTAGGCATCGAAATAACAGCTGGGGTGTCAGGGTTGGCGGGGTTGGGGTTTAAGTTTGCATCCCGCAGACTGCATCGTAAAGTGTTGAAGCACGACGAGATCAGGGTTCTGGCCGAAGCAAAGCTGAACATGGTGAGCGACCACATCTCCACCGCACTCACTGACAGTAACGTCTCTGAGGAGGAGTTTCGTTTGGTCCTCTCTGAACTCACCAAGTACCACGAGATGAAGCAAGAGATACGGTCCAAGTCTCGTAGGACTGCCGTCAGCGAAGCCGAGAAAAAAAAGTACATAGAACAAGGGGTACAACAAGCCCGGCAAGCCTACTTTACAAAGACCAAAGAGCTCATAGGCGATTCACATTAAACTGTTTCCTCGAGGTCAACATGATGTAGGTGTTGGTTCACGGTCATAGTGACCAGGAAGTTGGTTGGGGTCGCCAAGGGGGTTCGTCAGAGAGGAATTATTGATCATACCTCACGGCACCATGTTGCCACCCAAGTAGCGATTCAAGGTCATAATGACCAGGAAGTTGGTTGGGGATTCAAAAGTGGTATATATACTTGTGGGGGGAGAGATCAGGGCCTGATAAAGCCTTTATCTATGAAATAAAGCTTTACAGAGGCCTTTGGCAAAAGTGATCTCGTACCCCCACTGTATATACTACTACCCTCTCTATGAAAACTTATTTCCTAAACTGCCAAGCCTGGTTCCACCACTTGGGATCAGAATTCAACCACACATACTGTAAACATATTATATTTCGTGCAGGTTTTATTTTCGCGCAAAACATTTTAGAGCGACAATTTATACACCGCGAATAAACCTGTCATTCATTCAGTCTAACCACGCTCGCCCCCTGAGTTGTTACCATAACACATCAAGTTTGAAGACAGAAATCTACGGGAATCTTAAAATGACGACTGATAGTAGCCATAAAGAATCATACTTAACTGTCGCTGTAATGTATTTCCCAAAACATAATTAAATAATGAGCCAAATCCCATCGCCGAATTAGCGAAAATAGCAATGTGTGTTGTGGCCGCCATGGAAATTGGTCACATGACAGATGGTTTGATACAAAACAGATTACCATGAAACGACTCGGAAAGAATTAATACAGCAGTATTTTATTTATTCATTAAGATTTTATTTACCAGTACATCATGAAGTGAATAGTCACTTAACACTCAATCATCTCATTCACAACAACCCGGCTTGTTTGAAATCACAAAGAGCTTCATATACAGTAGAAGTTAATTCGTCAGATCGTCAGAATTCGGAGCATAAGACTGATGTGTTTTTCATCTCTTCCGTGAGTAAACGGATTACTGTGTACTAGTATATCGCACAGATAAGGATTTCCTGTGAGTAAGCAATAAACGCCGCCTGACAGGTTCAGCCACTCTGTTTGTTTTCACTGCTATTAGTGGCGGCCAAAGAGACAGCTGGCAGTTCCGGCAATTACTGATTGCGCGAATAATTGACCGCGCGATGTAGTCTAAACTGTCAATTCCGCGAAAATTGAACCACGCGAAAATAAGTACGTTTACAGTAGCTGCAGCTAAAATTGATCTCTATATCATAGCACCTTACTGACTCCTGTCTTCACCACCCTGGCAGATGGTGAAACCACAGGTTGATCTTACCCTCACTAAACTGAAAAAAAGTCCGAAACAAATCCCTTGGTGTTCCAGCTGGAATACAACCAGTTACGTTCCAAATATGACACCCATTGATCCATTTTCACAGATGGATCTAAGGATGAGGGCCAAGTTGCCAGTGCTACAGTCATTGGATCTAAGACTGTCTCCTCTACAATTCCCGACAACAGTTCCATTTTCACTGCCGAGGCCAAAGCTATTTTTTCAGGTTTGACCTATATTAAACAGCAGAATCATTCCAAAAGCTTCATCGTTTTCACAGATTCATTATCTTGCCTTCAAGCACTACAAAATGTTACTTCAAGTCACCCAATCATTCTGGACATTTTAGAACTTTACAACGACCTCTCTACTGGCCAATGTGGCAGCATCCTCTGCTGGTTGCCGGGTCACGTCGGCATAGCAGGTAACACTAAGGCCGATGCTGCAGCAAAAGCAGCTCTTGACAAGCCCTTATCTCCACTGCTAATCCCGTACAGTGATTTCAAACCCATTATCAAAAGCTATACTTGGTCCCTGATGCAAAAAAAGGTGGGACACTCAAGTAGGAAGAAATAAACTATATGAATTGAAAAATTGGTTATACCTACTTGGGTTGTCAGTCAAGACGTGATGAGGTAATTTTACGACGATGTCGTATTGGCCACAGTCGATTTACTCATGTCTATCTGCTGAAAACGGATGGGGATGGACCCCCCATGTGTGCCTCTTGCGATGAGGTTTTCACCATCAAGCATATTCTGCTTGAATGAATGGACTTATCGTCTGCAAGGGACTCACATTATGATGCAACAAACCTAAAAGATCTGTTCACCGTGTGAGCGCTCATCTCTTAGTGAACTACCTGAGGGAAGTTGATCTGTATCATAAATTGTAACTGTGAAATGTGACTAACAAATTGCCTGCCTTTAAATTTGATATGTTTTTTAAATAAAACTCATTCCGAGTATGTACTTACAATGTTTATTAATGCAAACTTGTTCTCGTCACTATATGGCTGGAATAATGCCGATTTGATGCAAAACCCAGCTCAACTAAACTCAACTCAACTGAAAATCATCATTTTTACACGCCTAGGAGGAAGTGGTCCCGTACCATCATTGTACTACTCCTTCCCCGGATACCAACAGTCCGTCTAGACCTCGACGCGTTGGAGAGTTGCTAAGACCCCCTATAAAGGAAACTCCACTCGCCACATTGAGGTCTAGAAATCACCTACTTGGCTGTATTGAAGATGAAAAGTGTCACTGTCCGCAGAAAAATAGTTCAGAAGCTTTCTTCCCCTTTACTTTAACATAGGTAATAGAACCCCCATGATAATACTACTATTGTAGTTGGGGAGGAGGTCGTCTTACACGTGGGATTGCACAAAACATGGCAATATACAGTCCCTAACAAAAAGATGCCAGTAAATTCTACACAATGGCAGAAGATTCTTGCTCCTTGTAGCGCCTTTCAGATAACCCTGTCTAAATCTAGTACATGTCTCAATATAGTCTTCTGCCCCTCCCTGACTCTACATGCACAATATATAACAATGTGATGCCTCATAATATTCAAGCTTTAATGAAGCATCAAGCATAATAATTTCAGCACTGGAGACAACAGGTAAGTCACATAATAGTTTTGACACTTCCTTTCAGGACCCATGAAGATCTTGGTCAGCATTGGTCTTCAGTAACCCATGCTTATCATAAGAGGCTATTAACGGCATCATGTTGTCAGGCTCGCTGTTGACTCATGTCATCGTATCCCAATTGCATATTGATGCTGAAGCTTTTGATCACTGGATTGTCTGATCCAGATTAAAGTATTTACAGACCGGCATCATATAGCTGAAATACTGCTGAGTGCATTCATCATTTCCCAATCGATGATCATGACATCAGTCACAGGATTGTCTGGTCCATACCCGATTATTTACAGACATGAATGTTGGAATATTGCTGAACAAATCTGATGTCAAATTGTGAAGCTTTTTTAACATTCAGGTGTTTGGAAAATGTTGAAATCCCACAGTGGTTTTCAGTCTGGGTTTAAAGATAACTTATTCTCACACAAAAGATATTCTTACCCTGCACATTGATGTTAACCTGAGCTGTGTCTGACAGTCCTGCAGTGTTGGAGGCAGTACAGATGTACTCTCCTCCCTGAGTCCTGGTGATAGGTCTGTCAAGTACAGCCCCATCCTTGCTGTAACCACCTGGACCTGTCCACCTGTAGCTTGTTGTTGAAGGGTTGCCTGGTGTGATGTTACTGCTACAGTCGATGTTGGGACTGGTGTTCTCTGTCACATCCTTGTTGCTCGGGACGGAGGTGATCACCGGGGCGTCTAATGGAGACAAGTGAAATATATGTTATGTGGAAGTGTAATTAACCATAAACTCTGAAGTTACCAGAGTGAGTAAGGTGGTTTAGTTATACACTGCTTTTATCAATACTCCACCAATATCATGGTGGTGGACACCAGAAATGGGCTTCACACATTGTACCCATGTGGGGAATCCAACTTTATAGTTGAGTTGAGTTGAGTTGGGCTTTACGTGACAAGTGAATGCATTAACCCCTAGGCTTCCCTACCGCCTCAAGATACAAGTATTCTGACCAACAGCTGTGCAGAATTAATCTTTTGACGTAGGTGTCCTTAGTGCTATAATTACTTCTGTTAAAGCCATCAATGTATTTGCACTGATATTGAATGGTTTCACACAACATCCTATTCAGGACGGAATATTGTTTCAACTTGGAAATCGACAAAGGCAAAGCCATTTCCATATTCATAAATAAAAGCAGGGTCAATGTTTGGTATTTGTATATCTTGTCCTTCCTAACACTGAAATTGTTAGTCAAGAAAAACAAGGAAAAGAATAAACAGTTATTCATCAAGATATGGATAACAACTTCTTGAGTTATTTTCACAACACCGGGCTACTTCTTGCCCCTTCTTCAGGTGGATAATGATATAGTGAACAGTACAGTGTGTTTGTGTGTACTATGTATATCTATAGTTTTGACAGTCTGAGTTCTTCATTGAGTGCAACCATAAATTAATGATAAAAATGACGTGGGCAAACTGAAATTTCACTCGCGATAAAAAATCATCAGTAACGGGTTAAGCCATCATTTGCATCGAATACAGCTACACATTTGTCAATGTGTGCGTGTGTGTGTGTTTGCCGTAGACAGAGGTTTGGATAGTGTTGGACAGTGTTGCCAGCGTCGTGTTGACCAGAACGTCAAGGAAAGGAAGTTTTGAGTTGTTTTCACTGACGAATACATTCACTTTGACTCCAAACACCCTCTCAGAACTAAAACTGGCATAATTTCTACCCTGAACCACATTTTCATCCAGCTTATGCTTGCAGAGGGCGGGAGCCAATGACCTGTAACAGTGTTGGGTCATAAAGGTCAACGTTCGTCAATGTAGGTCAGCTATGCACGTGACAGGTATGAAGAGGTGTCACAGGTCGTGAATAGGGTAAGGTGGGTGCCAACTGTTAACCATCATACGGAGTTTGTTTCTCTGAGTTGTTCAACATTAACCACAAAACCCATTAGTGAGAATTATTCTGTAGGTTAAAATCTTTAAATTTTGCAAATACCCGTCGAATGACATCTCTGATGACCCTGATGTCAAAAGAATCTAACTTTGGATGCCTACCTTTTTGTACAAGGTTTTGTTTATTGGTTGTTGGTTTATTTTTCACAATTTTTAGCACGATGTTCTTTTCATGCCAAGAGTAAAAATTGTAGTTTCATGTAATCCGACACCTTATAAATCGGTTTGCTACGTTTGCTCTCTTTTTAAAAAAACATTCAACACATTTCTAATTAAACGTTTAGCATCATCTGAATAAGCTTTCTCTCTGACTTCTTGAACTAATCCCCTCCCCTAACTAGCTATCCCCACCCCACAGGTATTCATGTTCATCATGCTTTTATTTTGCCCCGGCTTGTCACATCTAGTCTAGGGGTTGTTCAAGGTTGCAGGCCAACGGGCACAATCACACCAACAACGAAAAATTAAACCCCAAGGGTGTGATCTACAAAATAGACTGCAACTGTGGACAATCATATATTGGTGAAACGTCTAGACCAATCAACACCAGGGTTAAAGAACTCCAGGTGTCTACAAACAAATCGGACAAGAAATCAGCTATCTCTGAACATATACAGAACAACCTCAATCATCAAATCAACTGGACAGGGTACACAACACTGGCAGGCAACCAACCTGACTTCACGAAACAAAATTAACCGAAGCCATCCACATGAAACGACAACGCCCATGATCAATAGAGACCAAGATTATTTCATCCCCTCTGCGTACGATGAACTCATCAACCAACCTTAACTGGTTGAACTTATTGAGAATTTAAAGATTGTAATTTTTTTTTTCACTAATTATTCACGTATTAAATGTGAATATTAGCAGAACACAACTCCAGATTCAAAGACATGTGAACAGTTAGTAATTTGTCAAGTCACCATGGGCAGCACAGTTCCTCTATCAATCATATCCAGCCTTAAGTTTTCTAAACTCCTTCGTTTGTTTTTAGAAACAAAACCAAGCCCCCTCCTGTCACCGATAGTCAATTTTCTTGGCCTACCTGCGCCTCCCTGGTGCTCAGTGCCATATCCATTTGCAATATTTTTCAAAACACGATAAACAGTGGACAAAGGGATGCCTGTTCTACTTGAAATCATTTTTGCTGATCTGAGGTCCTTGTTATAAGACTCTAAAATCAACTTCCTCTTCTCTAAATCATCCATACTGAGGATCACTGAAAATGTCATCTGCTAGCAAGTAAACAAAGGGGGATAACTCTTCACAAACTAATGAAAAAGAATTAACGGAGCTGTCTCTCTTGAATGAAACCAAGCACTTGATAGCTGGTCAAGGTTGTTTATACTAGAAATCCAGTATATTCCTAAAATTCTCAATAATTTCTTGTCAAACACCTGTAAACCCCACTGGCTTCTACATACAATCCCTTGTCATCACATTGTTACCTATTCACGTCCTTGTTGGTTTAGTTAATTATTTACTGTATATATAGTCCCCTGTTTTCTACCTTACCCATACTTGCTTGACAACGAAAGAAGAATCTGTATTGAAACGTCGCATCTACCGAATAAAGAAGTTGTTTGTCTTAATATTACTCTCCAACTTCTAAACAATGCCACTCAGAGAAACTCCCGATATACTAACACAGAACTTGTGATGGGTTCCTTCATCACTATAATATACTCACACTGTAGATCCACACTGATGGTGTTGACACCACAGACATGTCCAGTTATCATCACTATCATACACTCACACTGTACATCCACATTGATGGGGTTGACACCACAGACATGTCCAGTTATCATCACTATAATATACTCACACTCTACATCCACACTGATGGTGTTGATACCACAGACATGTCCAGTTATCATCACTATAATATACTCACACTGTACATTCACACTGATGGTGTTACTGTTGACACCACAGACATGTCCAGTCATCATCACTATAATATACTCACACTGTACATCCACACTGATGGTGTTACTGTTGACACCACAGACTATCATCACTATAATATACTCACACTGTACATCTACACTGATGGTGTTACTGTTGATACCACAGACATGTCCAGTTATCATCACAATAATATACTCACACTGTACATCCACACTGGTGATGTTACTGTTGATACCACAGACTATCATCACTATAATATACTCACACTGTACATCTACACTGATGGTGTTACTGTTGATACGACAGACATGTCCAGTTATCATCACTATAATATACTCACACTGTACATCCATAGTGATGGTGTTGATACCAGAGACATGTCCAGTTATCATCACTATAATATACTCACACTGTACATCCACACTGATGATGTTGACACCAGAGACATGTCCAGTTATCATCACTATAATATACTCACACTGTACATCTACACTGATGGTGTTGACACCAGAGACATGTCAAGTTATCATCACTATAATATACTCACACTGTACATCCACACTGATGGTGTTACTGTTGATACCACAGACATGTCCAGTTATCATCACTATAATATACTCACACTGTACATCTACACTGATGGTGTTGACACCAGAGACATGTCCAGTTATCATCACTATAATATACTCACACTGTACATCCACACTGATGGTGTTACTGTTGATACCACAGACATGTCCAGTTATCATCACTATAATATACTCACACTGTACATCCATAGTGATGGTGTTGATACCACAGACATGTCCAGTTATCATCACTATAATATACTCACACTGTACATCCACACTGTTGGTGTTACTGTTGACACCACAGACATGTCCAGTTATCATCACTCTAATATACTCACACTGTACATCCACACTGATGGTGTTACTGTTGATACCACAGACATGTCTAGTTATCATCACTATAATATACTCACACTGTACATCCACACTGATGGTGTTACTGTTGATACCATAGACATGTCCAGTTATCATCACTATAATATACTCACACTGTACATCCATAGTGATGGTGTTGATACCACAGACATGTCCAGTTATCATCACTATAATATACTCACACTGTACATCCACACTGTTGGTGTTACTGTTGACACCACAGACATGTCCAGTTATCATCACCCAAATATACTCACACTGTACATCCACACTGATGGTGTTACTGTTGATACCACAGACATGTCTAGTTATCATCACTATAATATACTTACACTGTACATCCACACTGATGGTGTTACTGTTGACACCACAGACATGTCCAGTCATCATCACTATAATATACTCACACTGTACATCCACACTGATGGTGTTACTGTTGACACCACAGACTATCATCACTATAATATACTCACACTGTACATCTACACTGATGGTGTTACTGTTGATACCACAGACATGTCCAGTTATCATCACTATAATATACTCACACTGTACATCCACACTGGTGATGTTACTGTTGATACCACAGACTATCATCACTATAATATACTCACACTGTACATCCACACTGACGATGTAACTGTTGATACCACAGACATGTCCAGTTATCATCACTATAATATACTCACACTGTACATCTACACTGATGGTGTTACTGTTGATACCACAGACATGTCCAGTTATCACCACTATAATATACTAACACTGTACATCTACACTGATGGTGTTACTATTGATACCACAGACATGTCCAGTTATCATCACTATAATATACTCACACTGTACATCTACACTGATGGTGTTACTGTTGATACCACAGACATGTCCAGTTATCATCACTATAATATACTCACACTGTACATCCACACTGATGGTGTTACTGTTGACCCCACAGACATGTCCAGTTATCATCACTATAATATACTGACACTGTACATCCACACTGTTGGTGTTACTGTTGATACCACAGACATGTCCAGTTATCATCACTATAATATACTCACACTGTACATCCACACTGATGGTGTTACTGTTGATACCATAGACATGTCCAGTTATCATCACTATAATATACTCACACTGTACATCCATAGTGATGTCCAGTTATCATCAATATAATATACTCACACTGTACATCTACACTGATGGTGTTACTGTTGACCCCACAGGCATGTCTAGTTATCATCACTATAATATACTCACACTGTACATCCACACTGATGGTGTTACTGTTGACACCACAGAAATGTTCAGTTATCATCACTATAATATACTCACACTGTACATCTACACTGACGGTGTTCAAAGCAGAGATTTGTCCAGTTATCATCACTATAATATACTCACACTGTACATTCAGACTGATGGTGTTGACACCACAGACATGTCCAGTTATCATGACTATAATATACTCACACTGTACATCCACACTGATAGTGTTACTGTTGATACCACAGACATGTCCAGTTATCATCACTATAATATACTCACACTGTACATCCACACTGATGGTGTTGACACCAGAGACATGTCCAGTTATCATCACTATAATATACTCACACTGTACATCTACACTGATGGTGTTGACACCAGAGACATGTCCAGTTATCATCACTATAATATACTCACACTGTACATCCACACTGATGGTGTTACTGTTGATACCACAGACATGTCCAGTTATCATCACTATAATATACTTACACTGTACATCCACACTGATGGTGTTACTGTTGACACCACAGACATGTCCAGTCATCATCACTATAATATACTCACACTGTACATCCACACTGATGGTGTTACTGTTGACACCACAGACTATCATCACTATAATATACTCACACTGTACATCTACACTGATGGTGTTACTGTTGATACCACAGACATGTCCAGTTATCATCACTATAATATACTCACACTGTACATCCATAGTGATGGTGTTGATACCACAGACATGTCCAGTTATCATCACTATAATATACTCACACTGTACATCCACACTGATGGTGTTGACACCAGAGACATGTCCAGTTATCATCACTATAATATACTCACACTGTACATCTACACTGATGGTGTTGACACCAGAGACATGTCCAGTTATCATCACTATAATATACTCACACTGTACATCCACACTGATGGTGTTACTGTTGATACCACAGACATGTCCAGTTATCATCACTATAATATACTCACACTGTACATCTACACTGATGGTGTTGACACCAGAGAAATGTCCAGTTATCATCACTATAATATACTCACACTGTACATCCACACTGATGGTGTTACTGTTGATACCACAGACATGTCCAGTTGGTTTGACCTCATATCGCCTACACCACTATTTCGCCTACAGCTTATATAAACATCCTGTCAAATCCCATCTACCCTGTTCAGGGAATGGATGGCCCTATTCCACTGCAGTTTCATCGAATGCAACTAAATGGGAGAGAAGACTATTGAGAAGTTACTATTGATACATGATTTGTTTTAAGTATACAGTGAAGGATATTAGTGAAGGGGGTTATGCTTACCCCTGGGTGAGATAATCCCATTGTTTTGATTAGAATTAATACTTCAAAAGATTTATCTTATAAAAGTAAAAAGATTATAATTAGGTCTGTTGTGGTTGCAATGGTCGCAGCAGCACCATCGGAGACCACGTAGTGTCCTCCACTATTCACAGCCACCCACCCTTTGAGAATGGAGAACACATCCGACTCGTCGCCCGTGTAAAAGAGCGTGTAAAGACTGACATCTCACCGGTGCTGCAGATCTACAACAACGAGCTCGACCTCCTTGATGAAGATGATGCCGCAACTGCACCCACGTACTCTAATATTCAGGCCGCACTGTACAGACACAGAGCCAAGTCCATCCCACCACTGCCTGAGAGCAGGGCTGGCGTCACTCTAGAAGGAATATGGACCCAGACCGATGATGGCCGAGAGTTCCTCTGTGTAGACGACGGTGAAGATGACAGACTTTGCTGTTTGCTACAACCGAGATGCTGGAATTATTGAGCCATCGCTGACATTCTCTTTATGTATGGTACATTCTTTGTGTGTCCTAACCTGTGGCTACAAGTGTACATCATTCATTGTCTGGTGAATGGTAAAATGTTTCCTGTCGCTTTTATGCGTTGCTTCCCAACAAGACCAAGCGGACGATGTTAGGCTTTTCACTTTGCTGAAGGATATTGTTGTGAGACGACTTGGCATCGAACTTTCACCAGAAATATTCCAGATCGACTATGAAGCAGCAGTTATCAGTGCTATTAGTGAAGTCTTCCCGACAGGTCCGTCCCGAGGTTGCCTATTCCATTATTCTCAAGCTTTGTGGCCAAGTTTTGGAGAGGGACTGTCTCACGACTACATGAACAACCCAGCAGTCCAAGCCCACGCTCGACGAAAGCAGCTGCTTTGCCACTCCTTCCCTGAACCAGGTCCAAGATGCTTGGTTTGAAGTCATCGAGCAGTCTCCCGACGGCGACAGAGTAGCAGCCTTCAATCCACTCACGTCCACCAGCACCTGGGTTGAAGATGATGCCAAGTTCCCAGCACATCTGGAACCAGCACGAAAAAACACAGGCCCGCCGCTCAAACAACCATCTTGAGGGATTCCACTCTGGCTTGAAGAAACGCGATACCCGATCACACCCCAACATCTACCAATTCGTAGAGGAGCTCAAGAAGATCGAGAAGGCAGACAGGCACAAGACGACAGTTTGGACTTGGAGGAGCAAGGAGACCACGAGCACGTGTAGACCGTGATCGAGATCAGAGGATCGAGAGACTCAAGGTGCAGCTTTCCACCGGTGTGAAGTCTGTGATGCAGTTCCTTGATGCTGTTGGCCACATCCTCAAGCTAAACTGAGAACTCAATTCAATCAAACTCATAACTCTGTGTGCTCCTGATGACAATGAAGTGCTTTATTTATTTTAATTTAAAATCAAAGTTATTAATGTATTAAAGTAATGTGAATCACATACATTTGTTTGTTTTTCTTATCCCTTAGGCTGGTCCATTATTCCATGGGTAACATAGGCAGGAAATGGTGTGCAATGGTGCATAAAGTTGTTTTGATAAGACTGTAGGCGAATCGGTGATGTAGGCGATATGAGGACAGGCCGTCCAGTTATCATCACTATAATATACTCACACTGTACATCCATAGTGATGGTGTTGATACCACAGACATGTCCAGTTATCATCACTATAATATACTCACACTGTACATCCACACTGTTGGTGTTACTGTTGACACCACAGACATGTCCAGTTATCATCACCCTAATATACTCACACTGTACATCCACACTGATGGTGTTACTGTTGATACCACGGACATGTCCAGTTATCATCACTATAATATACCCACACTGTACATCCACACTGATGGTGTTACTGTTGATACCACAGACATGTCTAGTTATCATCACTATAATATACTCACACTGTACATCCACACTGATGGTGTTACTGTTGATACCACAGACATGTCTAGTTATCATTACTATAATATACCCACACTGTACATCCACACTGATGGTGTTACTGTTGATACCACAGACATGTCCAGTTATCATCACTATAATATACTCACACTGTACATCCATAGTGATGGTGTTGATACCACAGACATGTCCAGTTATCATCACTATAATATACTCACACTGTACATCCACACTGTTGGTGTTACTGTTGACACCACAGACATGTCTAGCTATCATCACTATAATATACTCACACTGTACATCTACACTGATGGTATTACTGTTGATACCACAGACATGTCCAGTTATCATCACTATAATATACTCACACTGTACATCCATAGTGATGGTGTTGATACCACAGACATGTCCAGTTATCATCACCCTAATATACTCACACTGTACATCCACACTGATGGTGTTACTGTTGATACCACAGACATGTCTAGCTATCATCACTATAATATACTCACACTGTACATCTACACTGATGGTATTACTGTTGATACCACAGACATGTCCAGTTATCATCACTATAATATACTCACACTGTACATCTACACTGATGGTGTTACTGTTGACACCACAGACATGTCCAGTTATCATCACTATAATATACTCACACTGTACATCCACACTGATGGTGTTACTGTTGACACCACAGACATGTCCAGTTATCATCACTATAATATACTCACACTGTACATCCACACTGATGGTGTTACTGTTGATACCACAGACATGTCTAGTTATCATCACTATAATATACTCACACTGTACATCCACACTGATGGTGTTACTGTTGATACCACAGACATGTCCTGTTATCATCACTATAATATACTCACACTGTACATCCACACTGATGGTGTTACTGATGCTGTTACTGTCCTGACATGTCCAGTTATTGCTATCATTTCTACTGACAGCTGTGATGTTTGTGTAGAATATCTTTGTCTGTCCAGTCACACATCCACATGAGTAGCCAGGATCACCAGTGAACTGTGCACAGGTTCTAGAGTTGACAATACATGGCCTGTATGGTGTTGCTCCTGCTCCCCGCTGGAAGCTCAGTGTTCCTTGTAGAGGGCCGCCTCCAGTCACTGTGCAGGTAAACTGGAAGCTGTCACCCAGTAGCACTGAAGATGAAGAACCTTGTAGTGACAGTGTCTGACCTGAAATATACATAGATAGATATAAGACATATATGTAACTGTACAGGTGGACTGTCACAATGTTGTACTGAGGATGAAGAACCTTGTAGTGTCTGACCTGAAATATACATAGATAGATGTAAGACATATATGTAACTGTACAGGTGGACTGTCACAATGTTGTACTGAGGATGAAGAACCTTGTAGTGTCTGACCTGAAATATACATAGATGTAAGACATATATGTAACTGTACAGTTGGACTATCACAATGTTGTACTGAGGATGAAGAACCTTGTAGTGTCTGACCTGAAATATACATAGATATAAGACATATATGTAACTGTACAGGTGGACTGTCACAATCCTGTACAGAGAATAATGAACCTTGTAGTGACAGTGTGTGACCTGAAATATACATAGATAGATGTAAGACATATATGTAACTGTACAGGTGGACTGTCACAATCCTGTGCTGAGGATGAAGAATCTTGAGGTGACACAGACTCACCTGCAATACACACACATAGACAGCTATATCAGATTAGACAAGACAATGTTTTGAGTGTAGCGGCCACTGCCACAGAATTTAGCAGTTATATTTCTTAACGCTGACATTAACAGATACTGACAGAAGGAGGATGCAATTAAGTAGACAAAATACATGCATGGACATTTACAAAAATATAACTCAGGCACACGTCATTAATTGTTCTAATAGAAATGTAATTTGTTAAGTAAATATAAGCCTATTCGATGACAGAAAACTTATTTCGTATGTTGTGCACATTACCTGGATGTAGGGAGAGATCACGTATTGCTTGAGTGTTTATTCTGCATATAAATCAGCTTACTGCTCTCCCATTTGGTATATATTTTCTAACACACTTAGTCTCTACTAGAGTACATACAATAACTTCATCTTTTGTTTATATTCTGCCATTAAGCTGACACTGAGGACATAATCTTAGATGATATGGTACATTAGCATATCTTACTGTCTCTGTTATAAGTCTAAAATCTGAATCTTGTAAAGCATATTCTCAGAAATATATCAATGCACAGATATTTGTGTCTCATATAGAACATAGTTGGAACTTTCATAAGAAGGGTGTAACATAGAATACCAATTTTGCTTGAGACTATACAAAAATCTTGTTTCAAATAATCTGATGAAAGTGTAAACATACCTAAGATCCTGGCTTATCAATACAAAACCAGATCAAAATCGAAATAGAACATGTTTCTTTTGCATAGCGAATTTGACTCTACAAGTATTGTAAAGAAACTTAACATAAAATAGTGTTGTGAGGTAGCCACTTTCTCAAGAGGAATTAATCTATCTCAGTATGTAACAGTCCGGTCCGAAGAAGACCTCTATCACATCCATGCATGTTTACTGAATATCAGTAAGTATTTGAACATTTTTATCTGAACATTTTCAGCAGTTTCATAGTATTTTGTTTACCAAAGTTCTGACGCATAGCACAGTATTTGTGTAACCACTGCATCAAGAATCCTGAAAAGGTCAGTACATTCAATATAATCTACTCTCTTTTGTTACCTTTAATGCCAGAAGGACTTTACTTGCTTGTGATGCAAGGCATGATTGTGCTGTAGTCAAAATGAGTATGGATGTAAATACTAAACATAAATTTCTATAAATGTAATTAAAAAACCACAATCATCATCAGCAAACAAACATAAGAGCAAATAGTTTTGTTCATCAGGAGATACAAAAATACCGTGACCATCATATTCCTTCTTTATGTTAACATTTTGATCCTCAAAGATGATAAACAACTGTGGACTCAAGACAAATAGTACCAACATTACCAATGAAGTACTTAGACAATCCATTTGAAGTTCTTACAGAGGCTGACAGCTCCGAATACATGATGAAATATTATTGATGAAAGTATTCCAAACAAACAAGCAAAAATTGTTTTATCTCCAATAAACATCAGGCTGGCAATACGCACACAAACTTTTCCAAAGAGTGTATTCGAGTATCTCCCAGTCTCTTTATGTAAACTAAAGTCATTACATCTGAATCCTGCTAATAAACGTTTAAAAGAAGTATTTATTATGAATGAAAGATATCAGCAATAATTACATATCTTGTTTTGGACATTGTCTTTTGTGTGAAAGTATGATGTTAACAATAGCAAAGAATGGGAAGAATAACTGCATCATCAAATAGTGCAGTGAGATCAGATCTTCAACCACATTGTTCTGTGGAAGGAAGATATAGACAAAACTGCCAAAACAGCCACAACAGCCAAACCTGCCTGTGATATAAACAAAGTTGAGCCTTACTCCATGAGAGTCTGGGACAAACACACTGCCTAAACACCTATAGAATGGTAAAACATGCTTCAGTTCTATATCAATTTTCATAACTACTACAAGAATGTCTTAGTTATATACTGAACCGATAAAGAAATGCCACACCAACAGACGTTTCTTAAAGCACACACTTCAGTTCACTCAAATTAACCCATGGTCCTTAGTATGGTGATCTACCTTCAGGTGTTGGCAATTTATAGCCTGTTTTCATATTGTATTGTCATGCTTGGTTGAAATACTTGAGATAGTTTTATATATATATATATATTACTGTCCTTTGTTGACAGGTGTTTATAATTTACTTTTAATTATAATAAATCTATAACTTGATTTACTCACGATAGGACTGAAATATTGCCGATGCAACTTAAAATCTTCACTCACTCACTCACTCACTCTAATTAACAATCAAAGTGGAGGATTGAGTTCAAACCTGAAAATTATATATGGTCAACACAAAATCACCAAAAATGGTGAGTGAGTAAATTTAGTTTTAGGCCGCACTCAGCAATATTCCAGTTATAGGGCTGCGGTCTGTAAATAATGGAGTCCGAACCAGACAATCCAGTGATCAACAACCTGAGCATCGATCTACGCAACCAGGAACTGATGACATGTGTTATCCAAGAAAAGCACGATTTTCTTTATTGTCAGTAACATGACATTTCCTTTATCAGGTGAATGGTAGGAAGTACATGAGGCACTTTCAAAGAAGACATACATTCCGAAACGTCGTAATATTCACAATAAAGAAGTCGACATCCATATATATTCCTTTTCTTATGTACTCCACTTCTAAATGCCCTTCAAAGATTTGATGTGTCAACCAACTAAGCGAGCCCGACCAACCGATCCTGTTAGTCGCCTCTAAGACAAGCATGGGTTACTGAAGATCAATTCTAACCTGGATCTTAACGGGTACCAAAAATACTACAATTAGGATACCTCAAAGTTAGTATCATGTGTGGCCTCCATGGGCATCGATGACGGCGTTGCATCATCTGTACATGCAATGAATTAGCCAATAGATGAAAGCCATGGGCACTTGGTTCCATACTCTGCAAAATGCCTGATCGAGACCAGCGGCAGCTGGCGGCTTTGGTTGGAGGTCATTCAGTCTTCTTTGAATCTCATGCTATCAAATAGGCACTATCATATAAAAACACCACCTTGTAAGAACAAGATTATTGATGTGGTTTTGAAAGGTGACGTTTCTTTTGCAATTGAATATATTTACATTAACCCTCATACTAGGTTCTTTCTCAGAAAAACATCAAAGCTATGTAACCCTTCTACATTTGTTGTGCTGTGTCAACAATCCTTGGAACATTGTCCATAAACAACAAGCATGTACATTTTCCACAGTCAACCGGGTCATGGTTTACTCATAAAATGTATTGAAAGGCCATTTGAAGTTCCCATACTGACTGTAAGTGAGTGAGTGTGTGAGTTGAAACTGTAAGTCAGATGGGCTGTATCTAAGCAATATAGAGGTGAGACACTGCCAGAGTTTGATTGATACATATCATGTCATGAAGGAGAGTAAAACAGTGGCATGACATCACTAAAACCTCAAAACTAACCATTGCAGTAGTGTATGATTATAATTATCAAATACAATATTGTTACATTTCGTAATATTAAAAATTAACTGCACACCACCAGCGACTGAAGCTAGACCATGTTACTGGGGATCATGGGGACTTAAACTACTTCACCTTCCTGCATGCATCCCCGGCAAGATTGAAACATTGGTTTTAGTCACTGGTGGTTGTAGTCATTACTAGCTAAACATTAATACATTATACAATACAAACATGAAAGCATTGACATTCAGGCTGTCCGTGGAGTACTTTTATACCATTAGGACATACATGTCACCATCAGAGTACAGTTAGATAGAGGACGAGACTTCGGCCCCATTAAATGGCCCTGCCATAACAATATCAGTTATTAATTGCATCAACCAAAGATAAAATATTTATAGCGTATTGTATATCTGTACACATTATGCCTGAGTGGACTCATGCTTGAAATGTTTCAAGTTTCAAAACATCTAAACACACCTAACAGTCATCACCACCTTCCACTGACAATGTTACAGCTCTAGTGCAGGATGGTGCACTTTTGAGGCATGCACAAAGTACCCGCCTTTACCTTGACATGTGCACAGTAAGGTCTCCTACAGTGCCCCAGAAGCTCTGTGGGAGTGCACCAAGGATGCACATGAGCGTAATATGGACGCAGTGGTAGTTAGGGGCGCTGCGCGGAGACCTCACAGACACAAACCACTACTCTGGACTGAATTGATGGAACAAATTGGAATGCAAAAGGCTCTAAGACGGTGTCTGTATGAATTGTCAAAGCTGCCTCGTAGATCAAATAGATTTCTTGTTGGAATACAGACGCCCCTTGCAATTACTATCATTAGCCCAATGAGCACACACCTCCTACACACAACAAACTGGTTGGCATCTGGTAGACTGCAGGCATGGTTGCATGACGAAAATCTGTTTACACATAACACAGACCTTCCTATTTCTCAACGGCGAATTATCCTTTTCCATGATGAGTACTAAGGTTAATAAAGGTAAGTAATAGCCTTCTGATTACTGAAGGATTCTCTATATACAACAGGTCATCTGATCTCGTCAGTGGCAAGAAAGAGAATGA